TACGATATTGAATTCAGTGAGAATTTATTTAAGGATGGGGTATGAGAACAACAAAATCAATTTCTTACAATTTTGTAAGATATTTGTGAGTAATTTCAAAAATTTGTGAAAATTAAATTAAAAAAAAAAATAGTTTTATCTAGGGCAACTTAAGTTTTTTATATTAAGGGAAGAATTTTCTAATTTTTTAAAGTAGCTTATTGCTTTACGTGCGTCGTTTTGTAACTTTTGTAATTTTATTGATTTATGTTTTGTGTATTTGTTGGCACATATATTGCTAACGAATACACATAAAAAAAACAAGAACAAGTAAAAGCATTTTCAGCAGATTATAATGAGAATAGCATAAAGTGTATTTATACAATACACTTATTATAGTAAATATTTTTGTTGGAATAAGATCAAATTTTTCTAATATAGATTCTCATCAAGTGAAACTCTTGATTGTCATCCAAGAAAGCTTTCTTTATTTTAATTTTAATGATAAACGGCTGTGGAAATTTTAACAGAAGATTTATTGATTATAAATGAAGATTTATTCATTTTATGAATGATAGTTTTTTACTATTTAAGGATGCTTGTTTTTTCACCATTTATTTTAGATTATTTATTTTTATTTAAACCATAGAATAAAAATTCATTTATTGCTTCTATTTAGTTTCTAGTGTGTTATTAGTTACGAAGTACTAGGAATAATAAATAATGAAATGAGCGTTACATTTTAAATATTATTATTAACATTTTATTACAAAAAATAGTGTAATGTGTTAGTATTACAGTACTATTTTATTGATGAGATGTAAATTTTAAATGAATATTTCTTTTCACCATAGTTGACTTGACATTGGTTTAAAAAACTACCCATAAACAACACAAAAGTTGGACTTTATGTGTTATAATAAATGTTTGATTAAATGTGTGTATGTACCCAGCTAGCACACATACGTTGTTAAAACATTAAAACATTAACGCGCGTTTCGTTGGCCCCTAGATCGGCTACCAACGTTGTTTTTATATCATTATGGTTACAAATGCTACGTCGCCAACGACTAAAAATCAATGTTGATAAAACGTTTATTTAAAGTCGGAAAATGGTTATATTTTTTACGTTGGTTCAACGTTTTATTTTATACGTTGGCCCAACGTTGTATTTTAAGTTGGTACAACGTTGTATTTACGTTGATTCAACGTTGAACTTTAATTGGCAAAACGTTTCATTCAATATTATTCGGAATTAAATTTTCATTAAATTCTATTCTCTTTATATATATATATATATATATATATATATATTTAAACAATTTAAAATGTATTCTACAAAAAGAGTGCTCAACGTTCTTTAAAGAACAGAGCAATTACAAATTAGTAGAAAATCACTTAGCAAAATTTTTTCTCATTTAACACAGTGTTTCATCAATAAAGACTCATCAGAAATGCATTTCTGATGAGTCTTTATCGATGAAACACAGTAAATGGAACACGATGTCAGAAGGTGCTGTTACTCGATATATGTATACGTATATATATATGTATATATATATATATATATATATATATATATATAATATATATATATATATATATATATATATATATATACATATATATATATATATATATATATATATATATACATATATATATATATATATATATATATATATATATATATATATATATATATATATATATATATATATATATATATATATATATATATATATATATATATATATAGTGCACTTATGCAAGTATATATGTAACTAATGCAATATATATATATATATATATATATATATATATATATATATATATATATATATATATATATATATATATATATATATATATATATATATATATATATATATTTATATATATATTATATATATATATATATATATATATATATATATATATATATATACATATATATATATATATATATATATATATATATATATATATATATATATATATATATATATATATATATATATATATATATATATATATATATATATATATATATATATAGTGCACTTATGCAAGTATATATGTAACTAATGCAATATATATATATATATATATATATATATATATATATATATATATATATATATATATATATATATATTTTATATATATATATATTATATATATATATATATATATATATATATATATACATATATATATATATATATATATATATGTATATATATATATATATATATATATATATATATATATATATATATATATATATATATAGTGCACTTATGCAAGTATATATGTAACTAATGCAATATATATATATATATATATATATATATATATATATATATATATATATATATATATAGTGCACTTATGCAAGTATATATGTAACTAATGCAATATATATATATATATATATATATATATATATATATATATATATATATGTATATATATATATATATATATATATATATATATATATATATATTATATATATATATATATATTTTATATATATATTATATATATATATATATATATATATATATATATATATATATATATATATATATATATATATATATATATATATATATATATATATATATATATATAAAATATAAAATAAAATATAGCAATATCATTTGCTAAAAAATTTAATATTTTACAATCTTTTCTTTCACTTGTATAATTTTTTTCCTCAACTTTTATTGTCGTCCATGACGCTTTAAAGAAAAAACATTTTATAGAGAAATTTGCTGTGGTATTGTAATTTATTCATCCGGCTAATTGCCATATTGACGTCTTCATAATAAATACAAGGATTAAAAAAAAAATAAAAAAACAAAAAACGTTTACAAACAGCAACAACAACAACAAGCTATTTATTTTCCGTAAATCATTTTACAATAGTTTTGATAATAATGATAATAATAATGATAGTAATAATAGCAAAAATATATAATAATAGCATAAGATAAAAATATAATTATACAAATTATAGTAATAGTAATAATAAGTATGTTTACAATAATTACAATAAAAAAATACTAATAACAACTAATATTAATATAATAATAAGTAATGATTTATTAGGATGGTGTCACTCATACAGAAATCTGATCAAAGGAGTGACACCAATTTTTAATATAATATAAGTAATAATAAGCAAAGACACACACTGAAACACATGGACCGTAAACACACAAACTAAAGCACATAAAATATACATCAAAACAAACATGTAGAAATCAGTTTGCAGGTTTTACTAATAAAAAAAAAAAAGTGCTGATGATAATTGTAATAATTACGAAAACAAAACTAAAACAATATTTAAATCATAAGGATAATAATGCCAAAAAGTTACAATAAAATGTTTTTTAGAATTTTTTAAAATTGATATTGTTTAAGATGGAGTAAAGGTATTTTAGGATATTTTTTTTTAGACTCATTCAAAATGCATGCAAGGCTCCTGTTCCATTCACAGACGCACTGATAAACAATAGAACGTTTGCCATACTTTTGGGTTTAAAAAGATGGTACATTTAGTTTTCCATTGTGTATATTTCTAGTCGAGTAGGAATGTAATAGTCTACTTTCTGTGAACAAGTTTGTGATAGGAGATAGTATATTTTTATTTAAGGAGTCAAAAACAAAAAGAAGATTAGCATACTTTACTAGCGCTGGAAATGTTGGAATGAAAAGATTTTTGAAGGACTTTGATGTATCTGATTTAATTGGTTGGAAGTTTATTGATCTGATGGATTGACGCTGAGACGATAGCAACTTGTTAATGCGATAGTTTCCAAGTTGACAACAATAGCTAAGATGAGATGAGAATAATGCATAGTAAATACTCCTAAGTGTAACTTTATTGACATAATGACGAATTATTGAAAGCATTCCGTTAGCTCGAGTTTCTTGCTTAGTTCATCAATATGAAAGTTCCATGAAAGATTACAATCAATTAATACACCAAGATATTTAATAATATTTAATAATAATTATAATCTTGAAGATCTACAAAGATGTCCACTAAACCCGTATAAAAAAAATTAAATAAAAACTAAAAAATCGAAATGAGAATAAAATATAACAAAAACATTTGCTAAAAATATAACCTTTTTGTACTAAAAAGTAGAAAATAAACTTTTTAATTTAAATTTAATAGTTTCGTAAACTAAAGATTGACCGGATTGCGTAATGCTTATTTAGAAACATACCTGTCAATCTTCAGTTGACGGAACTAATAAATTCAAATTAAAAAGTTTATTTTCTACTTTTTAATACAAAAAGATTATACTTTTAGCAAATGTTATTTATGTTTTATTTATTACATTTGTAGATAGATCAAGATAATACTGACGGGACAATTTGTTAACTTGCGCTACTTTTATGTTTGGTTTATTAAAGACTGCGGTTTAATTAAAGACACAAGACTAATGACTTATGCAAGTTTTATTTATTATGAAAAAAAACATAAATCATATAAAAATTTTTAACTTAAATTTATAAATTAAAAATTTCTGGTAAAAATTTTGGACTTTTTTTTTTTCAAAACGACAGGTTCAATTAAACTGTCTAGTTAAACTGCGGTTTACTTACAGACAGGAAACTTCCCTCAGCAAGGAATCTATTTTATATTGCCTAATCAGCAATATCAGCAAGGAATCTATTTTATATTGCCTAATAACTAAATTTACCGTTGCATAATTTATGGACGATCTCAAACGGCTTTATTTTATTCAGAATTATAAGTAAATCCTGAAATAAATTTATAATAACAAAGTGAAAAATAAATAAAAAATGATAGAAATTTTGTGTTTTGATTTTTAGTATTATTAAAAAATAAGAGTGATTTGACATTTTATTATCAATCTAAAAATAATTTGTTTTTTACTTCCTATATATTAAAAAAAAAATGTAAATAAATAAATTTTAACAACCTCATTTTTTACGCCGCGTCTTATATTTTTCTTGGATAACCAAAACAAGTATTCAAGTCAATAACTCTTTTAGGTAAAAAAAATCAAAAACTACTCAACTTCCGTTGTTCACACACATAGCATGTTAAATATTTTAAAATTATATTGCTTATAGCAATGTGTTTTAAAAAGTTCTTCTATGTTTTGCCCGTTTTTAAACGGGTAACAACAAAAAATACTTTCGCGTTTTATGTTACAAAAAATAAAGGCGTAACAAAAACATTAGTGTTATATTAATATTAACTTGTGTCGTTAAAAGACTTGCTCTCAACCAGTATTAACGAGAAACTTGAGAACTTGAAAACAGATTTTTTCCAATAATTTCACCATTTTTTCCAATAATTTCAATATCTCATGATAAATTTTAGTGTCACTAAATTAAAAAAAAAATTAAATTTAAATCTAATAAACAAAACAGTATTTTTATCTAGATCACAATTTTACTGTATATAATTCACTTTTAAATATATATAATTCACTTTTATATGTATATAATTCACTTTTATATGTATATAGTTCACTTTTATATGTATATAGTTCACTTTTATATGTATATAATTCTTTTATAAAACTTTTATATGTATATAATTCACTGTATATAATTCACTTTTATCTAGATCACAATATCACTGTATTTTTTCACTTCACATTTTTTACAAAAGAATTTAAAATAAAATATTGAAATAAATTTTAAAACAAATGCAATGAAATTATAATTGACATAATTTATAAAACTGTAAACTTATTTACGACTCAGATCAGTTCAAGATTAGTATTCTATTGGTATCATGTAATGATAATCCTAATGATCATGATCATCACATGATAATCCTACAAGTAACAAATCCAGAACAACTTACCATAAGTTGTTCTAGATTTGCTACTTGTAGAATTCGCTTTTCAAGGCAAAAGCAATGAAAAATTAACTAAAATCTAATACGCCTTAGGGCAACTCTTGGTTGAGTAAAAGTTAATGAAACTGTTTAAATAAAAATACTCATTTTGGACGGATTTTATCTGCATCTGGCTACTGTCTTGTTGAATTCTTTTCTAGGAAAAAACATTGAGAATAGACAGAAATATTTTTATTGGCCAGTGTAAACCACTAGTTCATCATAAGATGAAAGCTGGCGTACCGCCTGTGTTATATTACTAAGATGACTAACAATCTTCTTGTATTCATAGATTTTTGCGTGGCTAAAAATATTTAACACAAAAAATAATAACAAACACCAAATTGTTCCAATCTATCTTTGATAAATATTTGTAATCTTCAAAATAACTCATCCATAAAATCTTACCTTTTGCAAAATTCACCAGGTCCTACTGAATTTTTATGAAACTTATTTAAATTCGGCTATTTCAACTTTGGATCTTAGTGTAGATGGAAAATATCCTTAGTTTCATAAAGACCAATAGTCTCAGGTTGAACTGGGCATAGCAACCCATTTGTCATAAAAAAAGGTTTAAATCCGCTGACAATTCTTATTTTGTTTAGGCAGTTCACACAATTCTAAAATCTCACTAAAACCTTTTATGTACTTCTGCTACATATGATTCCCTCTAACATCACACTTTTTATCAATATCTTATGGCTGGCTAGAACTCCTTTCATAATTTTCTTTATGATGGTTCTCGACCTAATGTCATGTGTCTCTCCAATAAAAATTCCAACATAACCTGAATACAGACAGGCATAGTAGCATTTATTGTTTTTCATTAGTTTCATGTTACGCTTCGCTTGTCATCCATAATTGCTTTTTCTACCTTTTTTTTAGTAGTAATCTTTTCTTTTTTTCACAAGAACATTTTTCACAAGAACAAATCTCTTCACAAGAAGAACTCTTTTCTTTAGAATACTTTAGAATAATAGCACATTTTTCACAATAACAACTCTCTTTACAAGAACAATTTTTCACAAGAACATTTTTCACAAAAACAACTCTCTATAAATGCTATTTTATCATTAATAAGAAATGCTATTTTATCATTTAACATCTAAAGTCATAAAACATTTAACGTTTAACATCATTTAACACAAGAACAACTCTTTTCACAAGAACATTTTTCACAAGAACAGCTCTCTTGAAAATAAATGCTATTTTATCATTTCAAGAAATCAATCCAAAAAGTATTTTCTGACACTATGTTCCATAATTTTTCTCATAATATTAAATTTTGTCATTTCTCAGATTCCCAAAATTTTGATCATTTTATCTCAAAATTCAGATCAAAATTAAGATCTGAAAGTTTTAAACAACCAAATTTAAATAAATTCCATCTTTTATACATGGATTCGATTTTATTAACTCTCCAAAGGATAAGGTACTTGCAAAAATCTTTTCTACTGATTTATCTCTTGATATTCATCTATCTAACACCACATTCTTTCTGTAATTCCAAAGAAACAAGTTAACTCATTATTAGACATCTAAATCAATCATTTAATAAGCTACTTTGAACTTAAACTCTTCTACAACAAGTGGTTGTAGAAGAGTTAATCTGTTGTACGTTGTAGAAGTGATAGTCTTACCTCTAAGGTGGCTCTACTAGGTTTTTAAAGCAAATAGAGCCACCTTAGAGGTAATCATTTTTTGATTGCTTAGATCACGTAGCTATTTTTAAACATGATTCTTCTGTAACAGCAGTGACTGGTGAATTTCAACAGAAACATAACTCAGTACCCCTTATAGTTATTGAAATAATTGTTGTATCTTTATTGATGCATGGCAACACTACTTTCAAAACTAACCTTTAAGAGAAACCATCCATTGCAAAGTTAAAATCTATTGTCTCTCTTTATTGTACTTGCCATTTTCTTTCTTCCATTCTCGACTTCTATAAATCTTCTATATAACCTTGAATGAAACACTGTTGTAACTTTTGGGCTGGTTTTTCTAACTGATATGTAAGTATGTCCCATTATTTTTTTCAGAATATTAAATTTTGTATTTTATCTCAAAATTTGATTGTTTACAGTTTAAAACAAATTGGTAATGTAGTTAGCTTAAGCTGCCTTCTTTTCTGCTAATACTACATGACTTTAAACATGTCTAAACCTTCTGTAACTCATCATTTGTCAAAATTGGATCCTTTTACTGCAACTGTTTCATCATGATTATAATGCAAAACGATGTCCTGCTTTTGTTTTTCTCCGTTTTAAAAATAATGAAACATTAAAATAAGAACATTCAATCACCTCTGTCCATAGTTTTAGTATAATTCTCCATAATTCTAATAAAATGTAAATCAAACAAATTTCACATTAACCAGATTATCATGGACATAATCTTTCCTTGTAACATAGCATGCAATATAAAAATAAGCAATTATTATTTTAAGAATAGCTAAAGTTTTGTTACAATACACTTTTTAAAAATGAAAATGAACATAATTTGACATTTTTCTATAACTCTAACAAATTAACAAGAATTGGTAGATTCTCTAAATTTCTCCTTTTGCTTTTGGGTACTTATGAACCTTATTCAAACTTAAATTTAAATCTCTCTCAAACCAAACCCAAATAAATTTGAGTATTTATTAGAAGTCTCATAATAAATTAGATTGGTTCTTAAATAAAAAATTATTGTTTTAAATTTATATTTTTGATGCATCATTGTGACACATTATTGTAATGCATCATTAATATGCATTATTATCACGCATCATTCTAATGCTTTAATTACTGCTTTTGGACTGAAATCTGTAAACCTTAACTTTCATATCATCTTAAAATGATTAAAAAAAAAGAAAGGAAAAAAAATAGAACAATGTTTTGTTAGTTTATTATTTATTATCTTATTTAGTTTATTGTTTATTATTTTGTTAGTTTAAATATATGAACTTGTAAAACAGTTTGTTTGAGAAGAAAATAAAATAAAAATCAAACACTAAATTTTTTTACATCTTTTTCCTATTTTTTGTATGCCTCTAACAAAACAAATAATAAAAATGTAACAATGAACTTGTTAGTAATGTGTTAACAATAAACTTGTTAGTGACGTGTTAACAATGAACTTTTTTTTTTTTTTTTTTTTTTTAATTATCTTCGCTTCCAACAAGGCTGCAAGCAACCACTAATTAGTGTTGGAAGTTACTGGAAGAGAAAAGATGAAGATTGTAGAGCAAGATAACAATTGACAGACGACTTAAAAGATTGCAAATTATATAAATCAGGAAAGCAAGATGAAGGAAGCGAATTCCAAAGAAATGATGTTCGAGGAAAAAAACTATATGAGTTTTTGGAGCACTTTGGAACAGTAACAGAAAAAGGATGAGACTAAATTGAATGTCGAGTAACACAAGAATGAATTTTAGTAGATGGCACAAGAGACGCTAGCTCTATCGAGCAGTGCCCATTATAGTATTTGTAGAAAAGAGAGAAAAGAGAAAGAGAAGCAACATTACGACAATGTGACAGAGGTTGAAGGTTGGCTGCAAGAGCAGGTCCAACTATGTTTACAATGCGTTTTTGCACCTTGTCTAAAAGAGAAAGGGCATCATTAGAAGATCCACCCCAGATATGGCAACAGTATTCCATACAAGGCCGGATTTGAGATTTATAGAGATAGAGAATAGAATCCAGAGTAAGAAAGTGACGAGCTCGATAAAGAGAAGCAACTTTAGCAGATGCTAATTTTGCAACGGATTTGATATGAGGTTTCCAAGAAAGATCAGAAGTAAGAGTTAATCCTAGAAGATGAAGGGTAGGAGACTCATCGAGTACATTACTGTTATTTACCATAAATATAGGAAGGTCTAAATTATTGCGATAACAATTGGCCAAAAAAAATTGAGTTTTATCTGAATTAAATTAAACTTGTTAGTAACATGTTAACAATAAACTTGTTGAACTTGAACTGAAAATGAACTTGTTGGTGATGTGTTAACAACAAACTTGTTGGTGACATGTTAACAATGAACTTGTTGGTGAGGTGTTAACAATGAACTTGTTAGTGATGTGTTATCAATGAACTTGTTAGTGATGTGTTAATTGTGGGGTAAATGTTTTTTAAACAAAAAAAATAAATAAATAAAAAATCAAGCAATTAGGAATATTTTTCAACATGAAAGATATGAAAAAAATGAAAACAATTTTAAAGCAATTTCTTTCTATTTTAAAGCACTGTATTTTTCTTACAAAACCTTTCTGGAACCCTTACCAAAAAAATGACATAATTCTAATCGAACAAGTACAACACCAAGCAACTCGTTTGATTCCATCACTCAGAAAATTGAATTACAAAAAAAGATTAAAAATTATGGGTATTCAATCCCTTGTTGACCGTAGAGTTCGAGGTGACCTAATACAATGTTTTAAAATAATAAATGGCTTCGATATTGTTAATTGGTGTAACGTAAATTCGCTCTCTTATCCAAGAAATTTTAATCAAAGTTGAACGCGAGGTCAAAACTTTAAGCTAGTTAGAGAGTTAGTTAAAAACAATGAACAGCGTCATCAGTTTTTTACAAATCGTGTGGCGAACACTTGGAATAAATTGCCTAAAAACATAATCAGTGCCACAACTGTAAATAGTTTCAAAGCAAGATTGGATAAATTTTTCGAATCCGAAAACCTTGAAAATGATTAACAATGAAATTGGCTTTATTCCCATTTAATTAACTTATTTCAAAATAATTTGTAAATTTTTATGTAGGCCGCCAAAACCAGAATTGGTTACACAAGCTATAGTTTGTTGCGGTACAATAAATAATAATAATAATAAATAATAAATAATAATTACAGTTTATTAAAAAAGAGAAAAAGTGGCTTATAAAAATAAGACATGGCTTTAACCATGTCTCAACTTACCTTAACTAGATTAGCAACAAGATTACTATTTTTTGTCATCATGGTTTTTGTAGGAGTGCTTCTGTAAAACAAAAACAGATATTTAAAGGTTTGCACAGCTTCATTTTCTTATTCATATTCACTATATGTTTTAAGTGTTTAAATTCAAAATTAAAGCCTTGAATATTTTAGCCTTGAATAAAAAATTTATGTTTTGAAAATTGTAAGAAATAAAAACTTTATCCTGAATAAAATCTATAACAATATAGAATTTATAGCAATACAAAAAATGAATCTTAAATAAATGAATTTAAACCTTGGAGTATCTGTTATTGGTGTATTTATAAAGCTTTGAGATTTTCCGTTTTTTGGGTGATCTTGCACAAAATTTCTACAACTTGCCAGCTTAGATTCCAAGGCCTATCAATATATAATAAAAAAAAACTTTAACTATGCATATGAAATTTAAAAAAAATTTAATTAATATTGCGTGGGCTAATAAAAACCTTATTATAGGGTTATGACATAAAACTCATTAAAAAAAAAATTGTTTTAACATTTGTTTAAACAGCCGTGTTCTAAAATAATATACTCCTGTGTGGTCATACAAGACGAAAAACCACACACCTTTCCTGGGAACTTGTATATATTTTATATATATACAACCTCCCTATAAAAGGCTTGTATATATTATATATATATATATATATATATATATATATATATATATATATATATATATATATATATATATATATATATATATATATAATATATATATATATATATATATATATATATATATACAGTACTGTGAATATGTTTTAGACCACTTATATAATTAGTTGTATTTTAAATTTTTTTCCTGTGTATTTTTTTTTTTTAAGCATACTTAAGTTGAGTAATATTTGAGAAAGGTTGAAAGAATATATTATCTTGAATAAATAAACAAAAATTTATGAGGAACATGAGGGATATATTTGTTTATTTATTAAAACGATAATTGTCATAATAACTGCAGACCAAGCGTTCATCTAAATAATACATAAAAATAATATTTTCGATTTTTTTCTTACTGGTTCAGGTTCATATTCGCTCATTTAAGTTTTTAACAGTATAAAATGTAGTCATAGAGTGAATTTAATACAATAATGATCGGTTTTGGTACATTTTTTAAAAAGTTGTTATTTTTTATAAACACAGTTAAACAAATAGTTAAAAATAATTAAATAAAGTTATTAGTTTACATTTTTAGATTAATTAAGTGTTGCTATGGGTAAAATATCTTTAATAGAAAGACAGAAAGTTCAACAGGATATTCGAAGACTGCTATTAGAGAAATCATTAAAAAGTTTAGAGAAACTGGCTCCCTTGGAAATAGAAAGAAAAGTGGCAGACCTCCTAAGCTAACAAAAGATGACGATAAATATTTAAAAACCCTTTCTTTAAGAAACAGGAAAAAAACATCCACCGAATTGGCAAAGGACATTAATACACCAACTGAGAAAAATGTTAGCTCTTCTTGCATTCGATGACACCTACTCAAATCAGGATTACGAGGCTGTGTTACTATTCGAAAACCTTTATTACGGCGTGGCAATAAAGAAAAACGACTTAAATATGCAAAACAACACAAAGATTGGACCCAGGAAATGTTTAATCGGGTTCTGTACACTGATGAGTCCAAATTTGAAATTTTTGGAACGAAAAGACGTCAATATGTTCGAAGAAGAATAGGAGAAGCTTATCAGCCCGAGTGTTTAAACCCTACTATTAAACACGGAGGAGGCTCTTTACAAGTTTGGGGCTGTTTATCTTCATCGACTCACCGGGGAACGTTATGTGGATATTCTAAGACAGCATGCTATACCATCCCGAATGAGACTAATGGGCCATAATTTTATTCTGTAGCAGGACAATGACCCAAAACACTGTTCCTGAGTGGCAAAAAATTATTTAAATGAAATGGCAGAAGAAGGAATACTGGAAATGATGACCTGGCCTCCCCAGAGTCCAGATTTGAATATAATCGAGCATATTTGGGATTACTTTGACAGGAAAAAGGTCGAACATGCTCCCCGAAATGCTGAAGAATGTTTTCAAGTACTTCAAAGAGAATGGCACAACATACCGCAGGATTTTATAACAAATTTGTATGAATCTATTTCCCGGCGAATATCGGCTGTGATTAAGGCAAAAGGAGGACATGGTAAATATTAAGGGTTTTTTTATGAAGTGTGACATTAAAAAGTTTGTTTTTGTTCCATATTTGTGTGAAATATATGTGTTTTAATAATTTTATAATATAGAATTCGAAACTTAAATATTAAGGAAGAATTCTCTTGGATTTTTTGAGAAAATGTAAGTGGTCTAAAACATATTCACAGTACTGTATATATATATATATATATATATATATATATATATATATATATATATATATATATATAGTAAAATAATAATGCATAAAATGTACATAAAGGTTAAACATTTTTTCCATTAACGTAAATTTTTACTTTATCAAGATATAAATGAATGAAGCACCTGCTAATATTGAGGATTAGTAAAACCTTTAATTATGTTAATAACATAAATAATAAAATAAAAAACAACTTACCCCAACTTTTCTTAGTAAATCACTAACAATATTTAAAGCTGAAATTCTTGCTGAAGGTGTCATTGGGTTAGATATATTTTTCATTAAAGGTGTTGCATAATTGGTTAACAATACATTATTTGGATAATTTTTTTCAAGATCACTTTTATCTGATTTTCTAGGAGTAGACAAATTTTTTCCATCAACATTGTCAACAGATGATTGATTTGCTGCAGTGACTTTAGCTTTAGACGCACTCAATGTATTGTTAGAAGTTATTGCCAAATCACTTCTTAAATCTATTAACAAATTCATAATAAGAAAGTAAAAAAAAAAAAAAAAAGATTTTAAACTTTTATCTACTAAATTATTTAGGGTACACACTTTAAATTTAGAACACTAAAGGAATGGTGCTACATTGACTAACAAATAGGTAGAACATACAAGAAGTGCTGCAACATCAACTGGCAAAAAAGTAGAACATGCAAGGAATCTTGAATTAACATTTCAAAAATGCGCTGAATAAAAAAGATTTTGAACTACACATTAGAATTAAAAGAAAAAATTTTATCTATACTAATGTTATTAACTATTTAGTTTAAACTTTACTAACTTTTTTAATAAAGTAAAAAATTACTGATAATATTTTTTTGAAGTGTCAATAAAAGTTGCGTATAATTTTATTTATTTATATAAATTATATGTGTGCATTTTTTATTATAGTTTGAGTTTATAAGCAATAACCTTTTTAGGCAATGATAGTCTCTTTAATGAGCTAGGTATCATGAAAGTTAATACACTGGAAACAATAAAAAAAATTCATTGAAAATAAATGACAAATGCTTTTAATAGCTGTTGATTTAAATAGCTTTGATCAACACAAATGTTTTTAAATTATCATTATGCTTTTAAATTAATTAATTTTTTATATTAATATTAATAAACAACATGCATAGTATTTTTCATACATATAATTATGTTAATCTTTAAATAAATATTGTTATGATAAATATTAATCTTTCAAATATAATTATGTAATGATAAATGTTAATCAAATAAAATATTAATAAACAACATGCATAGTATTTTTCATACATATAATTATGTGTTTGTTATGATAAACAATTATCTTTCAAATAAAATTTCTATAATTTTTTTCAAGTTCAAACAATAACATTTAAAAAAATGATTATCACTTTAAATAACTTTTTATAAGAATTCAAAGTTTATTGCTCCAAATTTAATTATAAACTTGATTTAAATAAACTAAGCATTTGAGTTTTTTGAGTTTTATTTTAGTTGAGTTATATTGTTATTTTTGTGTTTAAGTTTTAGTTAAGTTCTTTTTATTTTCTTTTTCGTTAAGTTTTTTATTCTTATTTTAAATAAAGATTATTTTGTTGACTTTTGATAAGTTTTTCAGCGCATTTTTGAAATGTTCAAATTTTCAGCAACATTACCAGCTATAGTCAAATCATCAAAACAAAACAAATTATTTGCATGGTCCTTTAGTTTCCTGACTAAGTCTGATATGCATACCCAACCCATTTGATTAATGGATCTATTGGGTCTGGTGAGTTTATAATAACAAAATCCAGACCTGGTTTAAAGGGGTCAGGTTTGGGTCTAGATCCAACCCATTAACAGCCCTACAAATATCTATACATTTATAATTTAAATACATGCCTCTTGCTTCATCTTTAAGTCGTTGAACAGTAATCATTAGTTCTTCTTTTTCTTCTAACTCGTTTTCTAA